AAAATTGGGGTGCCTTCTACTGAATTTCTGGGGTTCAAAATTGATGCTGCTGGGATTCACCCTGCTGAATCCAAACTAAAAGCCATTATGCAAGCCCCTAGGCCAAAGTCTAAGGCTGAACTACAGGCTTTTCTGGGCCTCCTGAACTTCTACAATTCTTTTCTCCCACATAAAGCTAGTGTAGCTGAGCCTCTTCACAGGCTATTAGATAAACAGGCAGTGTGGCAGTGGTCACAAACACATGAGGCAAGTTTCAATGAGGTCAAGGCCTTACTCACTTCTAACAGTGTACTCGCACATTTCAATGAATCCCTTCCTGTGTGCATCGCTTGTGATGCTTCCCCTTATGGGGTAGGTGCTGTACTGAGCCACCTCAGGCCTGATGGAACTCAGGTTCCTGTTGCATATTACTCCAGAACATTGTCTTCTGCTGAGCGTAACTATGCTCAGATAGACAGGGAGGCTTTAGCTGTTGTTGCTGGGATTAAAAAATTCCATGATTTTTTTATATGGTAGGCATTTCACGGTCTTCACTGACCATAAGCCTTTGCTGGGACTGTTTACCACACGTAAGCAGACCCCCCAAATCATCTCCCCCAGGATGCTCAGGTGGTCTATCTTTTTGTCTGCATATGATTTTTCCCTACTTCACAAGCCTGGGAAGGAAATGGGCCATGCTGATGGCCTCAGTAGATTACCCCTGCCGGTAATAGAAGCTGACCCCATGCCAGCTATCAATCTTCTTTCTATCCAAGCCTTGCCCGAGTCCCCTCTAAATGCTAGGGATGTAGCCGCTGAATCGGGCACAGATCACACACTTTCACGTGTCCTTTCTTGGGTTTTGTCTGGATGGCCTGAGCACTGTCCTAGTCCTGAGTTTCAGAGTTTCTGGTCTAAAAGGAACGAGTTGTCCACTTCTCAGGGTTGTCTGCTTTGGGGATCCTGGCATTGTACGAATGAAGGCTCTTGCGCGCAGCCACTTGTGGTGGCCTGGCCTAGACAAAGACATTGAAGCTAAGGTGCATGCATGCCACCTTTGTCAATGCTCGCGCCCTGAAATGCCCCAAGCTCCTGTGCATAGATGGGAGGAAACACAGTCTCCATGGTCTAGGGTGCACATTGACTATGCTGGGCCCTTTCAGGGTCAATTCTTCTTGGTCCTCGTTGACAGCCATTCAAAATGGCTTGAGGTTGTACCTGTCTCATCCACCACCACTGCAAAGACTATTCAGGTACTGAGGGGGATTTTTGCTGCACACGGGCTCCCAGACGTCATTGTGTCTGACAACGGCCCTCAATTCACTTCCTCCGAATTCCAAGCTTTCTTGCAGGCTAACATGATTCGTCATGCCACTTCTGCACCTTTCCACCCGTCCACCAATGGTATGGCTGAACGCATGGTTCGCATCACCAAGGACGCCTTGAAGAAACTCACCTACGGAGACTGGCATCACAGGTTGGCTGACTTCCTCCTTTCTTATCGCACCACACCGTCCACTTCTACAGGGAGAAGCCCAGCTGAACTTCGTTGGGGGCGCAAACTGACTACCAAGCTTGACCGGTTGCATCCGGACAGACTGCCTCCTTCTGTCTCACACCCCAGGGCACCTAGACAACTGCTTGTGGGTGCCTCGGTTTGGACTCGTAATTACGGGCCTGGTCATACATGGGTCCCCGCTTCTATATCCAGGGTCACAGGTCCTCTGTCTTACGAGGTGTCCCTGGACAACGGTCGTGTCCTGCGTCGGCACATCGACCAACTTCGCCCTAGACGGGACCTTCCCGCTGAGACTCCTAGGTCTTTTCCAGGGGGGGAGGGAGAACCCTTTGGGCAAAGGGAAGGGCAGGGGCTGATGCCCATTATCAATGGGGAAGCCACAAACGGCTCATCTCAAGATTCCGCAAGTGCTCCCAACAGGAAGTCATGGAGCCCAACTAGAAGCCAGGCATCAATGCCTACTCCAGCCAGGGAGTCACCCCGGGGGCACAATCACTACTCACCCATATCACACAGTACTCCAGTCAGGGAGGATACCCGGGAGCATCCCAATAAACCATTCCCCGCAAGAGAGCTGGCACACACTCCTTCTAGTTGGCCCGACACTACCCCTGTCCCTAGAAGAGGGCAAACACACAGGGAGGTGGTCGAGGAACCAAATCCCGACTACAACACCTCTGACTTCACTCAGGGGACAACGGAGTTTTGGGACAGCACTGAAACCCACACAAGCCTGGACACAGAACGGGATTCAGGGGACAGATAGCCTCCTGACAGGTCTTGGATGGACCTAGGAGGTTCTACAGAAACGCCCAACAGTGACAGTCACTTAGAAGGGCCAGAGAGCCTACAGCTAGGTGGGACAACCAGGTGACACAGTGGAAGAACCCCTTGCCTGACGAGCCCGGTGGGCAAGCAAGCAGGCCAGGCATTGGAGCACAGTCCTTGGAAATCACCAAGGCAAAACAAGGGGGACAGGCACGCATCACCCCTCAGTCAAGGGGTACTTGGCAGGTACCCAGAGCTTAGGAGGTCACAGAGAGCAAGGAAATCTCCTAAGTATTTAGAGGATTTTATAACTCTATTGGCAAAACAGAGTTAGTAGAAGAAGCAGGGCACTGAGGCTGATGGTAAACGGGGAATACCTAGTATTGGGGAGCATGGCACTACACTCACGATGGGTTATGTATTATTATGGCATGGGTAATAGTTTTAGCCCGGGGGGAAGGGGTGTTATGTCCTGAGCCTGTGCAAGCAGGCTCGGGGCATTGCAAACGGTCCCGGACAGGTTTGCAAGCTGCCCGGGACCAGACAGGCTGTCGCCAGTACTTGTGCGCATGCGCGGGTGCTGGCATGCCAAAAGTTGCAGATTGACCCGGGAAAGGCCTATAAAAGAGGCCGAGAGTTTTGGGCGTTGTCGGCGTCTTCTAACTGTAAGCTGAACCACAGAATAAAGAGTTCCTGAGAACTACAACTGCTTCTCGTGTCTTGCCATTTCGCGAAGGACGCAACAGTGCCAAAAGTTTTTCTCTCTAAAATCAAGTACTGGAAGACACATTATTCATAAAATAGCTGTGAAAGTTATAGTCTTCATTGGAAAACTAGATATTTTTGAGAGAAGCTTAGTTTTTACTGAAAATTTTGGAATCAAAGAGTGAAAAAAACTATCAATTCATTTGAGAACCTTCATCTTTTCATAGCTAAAATCTACCAACCAAATCCATAAGTAAGAGACCATGATATCTGAAACTAGTTAGATTTATTTATAAATTAAAGCATCAGAATTATTTTGAAATCAGGAAAACTTAAGATAGATTCTTACCCACCACCATTCAATCTACAAAAATGACTAAACTATACGTTGACTCTTGCTTAAATGCAGGTTGCCACTTCTGTAATAAAGATTAAAGGAAAGTTAAGCTAGTAGGACAGATTGTGTAACCCAAATCACTGCCATTCTGTGTCTTTCAACATCTGAAGCCTGAAGTGGCCACTTCAGTATTCTTAATAGTTCCATTCATGAAAACAAGAGTACGTTTATATAGCACACAAAAATAACTTGCCAGAAATCTCCTTTCACAAAAAAAAACCCCTAAGGCAAAACCAAACCATATTATGTCTGAACCAGGCCAATAACTTTATATTATTATCAAGCCCTTGTTTTTATTTCTGGTGTTATAATTCATAGAATTTAATAGTTACAAATTCTTTTCCTGAAATGATAGCTAGTTTTGTAATTATTTGGAAATTTCCATTTATATTTAATGACAAAACAGCACAAGGGAGTGACTATGAGGCTAGCATATATATATATATATATATATATATATATATATATATATATATATATACACACACACACATACATACATACATACATACATACACACACACATACGGTCAAAGATCATCTGTGGTTTACAGAATCAATTGCAAAGACTGTGCGAGCAATTACGTTTGGGAAACTACTAAAAGGCTGAGGACCAGGGTTCATGACCATTAACTGGCTATTAGAAGGTAGGAGCAACGCTCACAAATGTGGGCCCATATGTCCAGCTCTGGCCACACATTCGATCTAGCTAATGCAGAGGTTATAGCTCGTGAGACTTCCAAGAGTGGCCGCCTACTCAAGGAAGCCTGGCTCTCTAATGAAAATTCCATCAACTGGCATATAGATCTTTTGCCGGCTTACCAGACTCTTAGGAGATGGGAAAAACAGCGCCACGGCCTACTGAGAAGACATTTAACTCTTCCTTGGCAGGATTGGGGCGGTAAAATGATGGATGAGATGGGCACGCTCTCTAAGGAAGATGACAGCATTTTGCACATTAGGACGATGGCTCTATAGGTGAGACGACCACAACTCCCATGGACCGAGATGATGGACCAAACGGTCCTAAGCCAGGGACGGACGCGCTGAGGCAATCTGGAAGGAGGGGGAGGGAGGGGGAAGACAGAGAGCAGGAATGCCGGAACAGCTGCTTGTTGCAGGACTGGAGTGGAGGAATTATGACAACAGCCTTGGGGGTGGGGGAGGATAATGGCCCTGGGAGGGAGGGAGTCTGGGCACAGGAACAGATTGACAGCTGCCCTCCAAGTGCTTGCACATGCTCTAAAAGAGCACTTGAGGATCGTAAAACAACCAGTAGAGCCAAGGACAGTTTGCCTGACGCGGAACAATTCTGTGCGTTACAGATTAATACAATCAACGGGCCGATGACACGCTCAAGGAGCCGGGCGCAGAGGCAGGAGGCTATATGAGCTGCCTTCCCGATCTCCTTCTATTCTAACTGATGACGCCGGCAGTTTTTGGCCAGATGAAAGCTTAGTGACTCTTCTTAACATCAGGCTTGTTTATATTAAACAGGATGGTTTATTATATCCTGGTGTTCGTTTTTTCTTTTATTTTATATACACACACACACACACACACACACACACACACACACACACACACAACATGTACAAAATTAGGAAAGATGAATCCATGCTTGAGGAATTCTAGATTATAGAATTCTAGATATTAACAATTTTATTTTAGAAAAAAATGTAAGCTACTTCATAGCAAACATAGAAGCTTTTAAGGTTCTTAGCTAATTAATCAGGTGAATACTTCAGCAGACTTTCATAGTTTTCTGAAAAACGAATCCAAGAGCAAGTTTTCACATTGACCCTTATTTACAAAACAAAATGTTAATATTTTGGATGGAATGATGAAAACAGGAATTGTATGTAATGAAGATAGAAACTTTAGATGCCATCAGAGACAAGCAGGAATTCTGGTTGATTATATTATTCCAAACTGTGCCAATTCATGAAGTTCCAGATGGCTGAAAGCTTCCCAGGGGCAGATCACAGTGATATCTGCAAGTGAGACAAAGAAATTTCTGCAGCTGATCAAACTATAACAAGGTCATATAAGAAGGAATTCTGTTAGTTGGAACTTCATGCAAAACATCTCATGTTAACATTTTTTTCTTAAACTGTAGTTAACATTATTGTAGTTTGTGACTAAAACAGTATAATTTCAACACAATTAAAATAAAATGGAATATTATATAATAGTAAAGCAAAAAAACTACTCTAAGCTAATTTACTTAGTAAAACAAATTGTCAATTATTAGAAGAAAGATCAGTAAGAGACTTATTCAAATGTAACTAAAATTGTTGGCTACTAAAATGATAACTCTTGAAATGAATAAATGAATATAAATTTGTCAATTATCACTGAATTTACTCAATATTGTGAAATCAGAAAATGAGTCTTAGAATCTCTGAGGATCTATAACGTTCTACACATGGACATGAAACAATTTTGTGATAACAGAAATGGCATTCAAGAAGAATTTAGCTATTCTCCTCGAGATCATTTCTAAGGTGACTTTAAAGTGTACAGTTGCACAGACAATGGAGAATATGAAATGCAAGGAAGCAGCCCTTAATCTAACGCATGCTATTAGTCAGATTAGGAATTGATGGCTATTTTGTTCTATTTCTGGTCTGAAATGTCATTCAATTTCATTTCTAAAACCATTATAAATTATTTGCCAATTACAAATCCATTTATTTTCTTTTTGTAGATATCAGCTATTTCTGTTTTGTTTTGGTGTCTCATAAAAGAAGGCATTTAGGAGAAATAACTAAAGGCATTTCTGAATCCTATCAAAATCTTTTTGCAGTATGCAGATGTTCTGTTAGAGTCATAAGTCTAGCTCTAGTGAATTATGCCAGTTCTTGCATTGTACTTGAATTTTTTATAACTATATTTCTCATCTGAAATAGTATGTTGTATATGGTACAAATCTACTGATAAAGACTAACCCTTAGTGACACATTATACAAATGTATTTATTTATTTGGAACAACTTATATAGTTCCCAAATTTTTTCCACAGACAAATGCAATAAGACAAGTATTCTCTTTTCTGGCCTACCAAATTATTGAATAAAGGAGCATTATTAAATTTGTGCACTATCAGGCCATTTAGAGTAGACCCATAAAGATCTGTTTTCCCAGCAAGCATGGATAAATAAACTTTCATTGGGGCATTATTTTATTTCTCCTCCATTATGGACTGAGGACATTAATCTGGTCAAACAAAAATATTGCCATTAAAGCAAACATAGATTATAATTGGCTGAAATGAAAAGTCTTAATAGGTGAGTGGGGTACTTTCAGGTGATCAGTGTGGAATATATACTAGGGCCTTAGCTACATTTTAATTCTCTCAAAACTATGCGAGATGAGATTTTACATTGTGATTTTATTTTATTTATTCTTCTAGAATAATGGAAAGCTCCCCAAAGGAATTAAGAAGGCAATGAATGAAAACATTGTAGCCAGAATTTTAAATAGGAGATCTACATGTATGATTATAGAAAGGCCAGTCTAGAGTTCAAATGAAGTAAAGAACGGAAGGTACTTTGAAGAACATGAAGTCCATAAAGAACATGAAATTTAAAAAAAACCCTTAGGAATTTAGATTATATTGTGCAGATAGATTCTCAAGAAAGTGGTACTGCAGATGCATTGATGCCAAAATTAGAAGGTTACATATGTCAAAACTAGTGTTTTAAATTGCATTCTGAAGCTTATTGGCATCTAGTCTAGGTCTTAAACACAGGTTTAATAGGCTATTGGGCATTAGTATCTATAGGAAATAGACTACAGCAGGGCTTTTCAACCTTTTCACCCATTGTACCACTTTTAGGATATGGCAACATCCAAGTACCACCAGTCGCCTAGCAAGGTGTCAAAAACTTGATGACCCCCCCCAAAAGGAAAAAAGTAATAAAGTACAGGTAGTCCTCGATTTACAACAGTTCGCTTAGTGACTGTTCAAAGTTACAGTGGCACTGAAAAAAGTGCCCCCCAAGCTACAGCCGAGCAAGACACCTGCCTGCCTGCCCGGCGGCGCTCTTCCTCCTGTCTGAGGTTTTCATTGTTGTGAGCATTTCTGTTGAGGATTGGCAGCGGGGGTGGAGTGGGGGGGGTGTTTGGTTTTTATTCCCCCCGCCTGCTGGGTGGTTGCAGCAGGTTTTGGTCACTTCACATGACTCTGGGACACTGTGACCGTCATAAATATGAATCAGTTGCCAAGCATCTGAATGTAAATCACAAGACCTTGGAGATGCTGCAACATTCCAGCTGATCGGCACTTCTGAGCTCAGCAGAAGCACCAGGATCAGTGCCGCTTTCCAGCTGATTGGTGCTTCTTCTGGGCTCAGCAGAAGTGCCAGGATCAGCGCCAAGCTCCAGCTGGAGCCTGGCACAGATCCTGGCGCTTCCATTGAGCCTTGACAGCCCCGAAGAAATGCTGATCCTAGCGTTTCCACTGAGTCCTGACAGCCCTGCAGCTCCAGCCATCTCTCGCTCAGGCTTGTGCAGTTGTGCCACCAGTTCAGCTGATTCCCCTACCCCACTACCACTTTTCTAGGATGATCGCGTGCCACCTGCCAGGTGCCAATGTACCATAGGTGATACCCATACTACTGGTTGAAAAGCCCTGGACTACAGCTTTTTGTATCTATTGAAGCTTCTGACTGCAAAGGCAGCCTATGTACAATGCACTACAGTAGTCCATATATGTGCTGATAAAGGCATGAATAAGGATTGAGGCAAAACTGTTTTTAAATCAGAGACTTTTCAAATATGTGGCACATACAGTGATAAAGGCTTGATCAAAGTGCTAGTTTCTTTCTGGCCTATACAGTGACTTGCACCAGCCAACTGATTAATTTCTCATAAAGATGGCTGCTTCAAAATTTACTGATTTACCTAAGATATTAATTAGGTGAATGAACAAGTCATAACATTATTCTCTGTATTAAATTGTCATAATAGAATATTTAACAACACAGTTTTCCTATATTATTTACCTGTTCCAAGTCCTTCCATTCCTGGGATATCATCTCCAAAACTTTGGACAAAGAAAACAGAGCAAGAAAATGAATGAGAGGGAGGGAGAGTGGGAGAAAAAAATATATACACAACAATACTTTTTTCCTAACCCAAGAGCAGAATGACAAAAAATGGCTATGTAAAAACTCTTTCAAATGCGGTTTTCTTTAGTGTGTTACATTTAAGTTATTATGTTTTGCCATTCAGTGTTCTGATCTATAATGTAGACTGTCTGGACAAATAGAAGGACAATGTAAAATAAGATGTAATCTTTTTCTTGAAATAAGTTACATGCTAATTGTTTAGGTCAGCAGAATTAAAGCCTCCTTATTGCCCAGTGAACTTTTGGTGTCCAAATTGGCTGTCTTAGGAAATAACAGGAACAAAATAGGAAATGTATTTCAATTAAAAAAACAAAAATCAAAGCAAATAAACACAATTCTTTCAGCCCTTTGAAAATATTTCTGTCATCATGCCACCCTGTCTGACTTTATAACATAGAAATCTATGTACATATCACAAGTGTCTTATCTAACGCCTAAAATATAAAACAGTCATAGAAATATGTCCCATTTAAATATAATTATATATGTACACATTTAATATTTAAGCCAATAGTCATAGAGGTATTGGTTTTGGCAAGTACAGTAGTTATTCAGTTTGATAATTCAGAAAATTTCATCATTCCATTTTATAACTAGTCCAAGAAACTGAACTAATTTTTATGTCTTTAGTTCTGAAAGGGGTACTATGTCGACCAGCTCTTACCAACTACACTTATTAATTCCATTTACAATACAATACAATCCTATGTATATATCCCATTATGTGTCATGGGCCTTATTCCCTTGTTCTTCATTAAGATTACACCAAGATAGCTGCTGCACTTGCAACTTATACTATGGTTTGAAATATAGTATAGTATAATTTGTATCTATGAATTATCTATATATATTCATTTAAGATGAGAATTAACACATGGAAGACGAGAAAGAGAATTAAAGGCAGTGGTAAATGAAGGAACAATACACACTCACACACAAATATATATTTATATGCATATTCTCCCTCCCACCAAGAATGTGTATTTTTACTGCAATTCATATTTATCTGAAAGTTCCACTGGATTCAAGGATCTTACTTCTAAGGAGATATGTACAGGATCATTTATAGCAGAGAATGAGGAATATTAGGTTCATGCCTCTAGTAATTATAATTACTAAATACTTATACTCTAGTAAGTTTAATTGGGCATTATCAAGTTGTCAGGCAGTCCTGACACAAGAAGTCTTTGAAAAAGACAGTGATTAGACCAGTTGCGAGTTCAGAGGTAACTTTCAAGAGTTAAGAAAGCCACAGTTTAAGTCTTCTGGAAGGAACAAGTTGGAGAAGGCTGTTGCAGAATCTTCAGAATACCTACCCTTTTACTCCTTTCTTAGGGGGCTTGCTCTTGAATTGTCTTGTTTGCCTTTGCTTGAATTTCGGAGGCCCCTTTCGTGGGGTTGTTGGCCCTGTTGAGTCTTTTGCATTGAGGTTAGCAGCTGCAGCGTTATCAGACATCTTGGGTTACAGTGAGATACTTGGCTTTTTAAGATTCTCCTCTCTAAAAGAGAAAATATTGCGGTTAATAAAGTTGGAGAAGAGAAGGTCTTATATAATATTTGATGCCACAAAGATTGAAAATTCTAACTAGTACAGAGTCAGTATACATGTCAAGTTAGATAGACTAATTAATACTGTTATCTAATGCTATTTCTGTCCTTTCCCCCATCCACTTGAAACAGAGGATATGGTTTTCCCTTTTTGTTGTTTCATGTATATATCTGCATTTCTCCTTTATCAGTTATAAAATGACCCATGAATTAAAAAATGGATAAAAATTTAGAGCAGTCAATATGGGTAGCTTATTCCATGGTGATGAATGTGGTCAGAGAAATGACTTATATACATTGACAAAAAGTCAGTGTCTATTCATCTTTTTCATCTGAAACTTATTTTTTCTTTTAATATTTTAAAAACTCATAAAATAATGCTGCAATGGGTTTAAATTATCTTCAATGAATTTATTGAATCCCATGTACTAAGTACAGCTAAATGTACTAATTTGAGTACTTTACTTCAGCTCAGATAGCAATCTGTTCCTTTGCAATCTATAGATTTTATGCTTACATAAATTTAATCCTTTCCTCCTCCTCCATATTTGATTCTTTTATTTCACATCAGAATAAGACCAATGTTGGTTAGGACAAAACTATGTTGCTAATGGCCTTTATACTCAAGTGCCACCAAGAAAAGTGCTTGTATTTAACTTTTTCTGTCTCATATATGGAAAGTCATATGCTGCTCCTTATAAGTATTTTTTATTTTTCTACTTTTTTATTTGTTCTTTGTATGTATTCATGGAGATATGAGGTAGTGTCCTATTTTTTTAAAAAATGAATGCTTATTATCAGACCTTAACAGTATATTCTTAATACAATCTTGAGTTCTTTTCATGTTATCAGTTAAAAAAAAATCAGAGCATGGAAAATATTCACAAATAAAAATTACATCTACAAAACCACAGGGGCACATTTTAGTAGCTGGATCTTTTACTAGAGTTTCTGGGAATTGATTGGCATATACATTTAATAAAATATTATTGGTTCATTGCACAATCAGCCAGATGTTTAGGCTGGATTTGGTAACTATTGCGTCCTTTTCAAGGACCTGAGCGAGGCAGATGCTGATGTTTCATAGTGCTAAAGGTATTGTGGCAGGATGTAAGTTGTTCCAATTGCCGTTTGCAATTGACCAATGGTGATTTTGTCAATGCCAATGGTGTTCAAATACTGTCCAAGTTGTTTTGGGAGTATACCCAAGGTGCCTATTACTATTGATACTGCCTTTACTTTCTTTTGCCACAGTCATTCTATTTCTATTTGCAGGTCTTTGCATTTTGTTGTCTATTTGAATTCTAAAGTCCCAGAGCACTTTAGCTTCTTCTTTTTCTATTACTTTCTATAGTTTATGGTCCCACCAGTTCTTGCTTGCAGGCAAATAGTATTTCTTGTAGATCTCCCAATGCACTATTTGTTGCTACTTGTTGTTTGTGGTCAGTCTGTGCAAGCTTTTTACAGCAGCTAACCAGGGGGTCTGGTTTCTTCAGCTTTTTTTCAAAAGCGACACTTGCTGTCTTTTACTTTCTTCTCAATTCTGGCTTTGTATGCATTTGTTCTTAAGGTTTGGTCTTGTGCCACCAGAATCAGCCCCTCTTTCTCTTTCTCCAACTTTCCTGCTCTTAACCATTGCCAGGTCTTGTTATCTGATTCGTCTGCTATTTTTTAATATACTGGCCATGTAATATTTTGTTTTCCCATATCTCTTTTTTGTTCTTTTTATTTTTATTATTACTGACATTTAGAAGGGGCAGAAGAAGGGTGTCACACTTGGACCAAGCAGATTATCAATTATTTGTCAAGGGAGAGAATTTATCACAACATATAATCTTCATACCCATTTTGTGTATTTGATTGTATTGATAAAATATATGCTGTCATAGGCCAAAAATAATACTATGAAAATGTAGCAAACATCATACAATTTAGGTTTACAAAGAAGAGGGAGTCAAGCTATTCTCCAAGGCGCCTGAAGGACAAGAAGCAACGGATGGAAACTGATCAAGGAGAGAAGCAACCTAGAACTAAGGAGAAACTTCCTGACAGTTAGAACAATTAACCAATGGAACAACCTGCCTTCAGAAGTGGTGAATGCTCCAACACTGGAAGTTTTTAAGAAGAGACTGGACAGCCATTTGTCCGAAATGGTGTAGGGTTTCCTGCCTGAGCAGGGGGTTGGACTCGATGACCTCCAAGGTCCCTTCCAACTTTTTATTACTATTATTATTATTATTATTATTATTATCGATCATCGCACAGTCAGCCAGATGTTCAGACTGGATTTGGCATTTTGTCTACCTATTGAGTCCTTACCCAGGACCTGGGATAGGCAAATTATTATTATTATTATTATTATTATTATTATTATTATTATTATTATTATTATTATTATTATTATTATATCTCCTATAACTATAAGCCCGAACCATATTTGGAATTATATTTTGCCAGTAGACATATCACTCAGAATATATATATATATATATATATATATATATATATGTAGGTCTTTGGTTGTTCGGGTTTTCTCCCGCGTAAAATTGGAAGTGTCTTGGCGACGTTTCAACGAAGTCCCATTCGTCATCTTCAGGCTGGTGTTTTCAGCTTCGTGCTTCGAGCAGCAATGCTGCTCGAAGCACGAAGCTGAAAACACCAGCCTGAAGATGACGAATGGGACTTCGTCGAAACGTTGCCAAGACACTTCCAATTTTACGCGGGAGAAAACCCGAACAACCAAAGACCTACATACAAACACCTGCGAAAACCTCAGAAACATATATATATATATATATATATATATATATATATATATATATATATATGTGTGTGTGTGTGTGTGTGTGTGTGTGTGTGTGTGTGTGTGTGTGTTTGTGTGAGTAAATAGACATAGGATGAAGGATCATTGTGTGTTGGACTAGCGATTACTTTTCCTTCCAGAAACATTTTAGTTATATACTGTATTTTGCTTTAAGAAACCATTCCTAATTTAAGGAATATGTATTCTTGCAAATAGGAGGGTGAGAAGAAAGCATTAACCATGCTGAAAGTGACATTTATAGCAGAATCAAAAATTTAGTTAAACTCCTGATTTCCTGGCTGCCTTTATAGGACCAGATTCCTTGCTAAATTCAATGGAATTGTGCCAATTCCAAACAAACTGATCTCTAGAATCTCAAGGACTACACAATTTTTTCTTCATATATGAACATGTGTTTAAAGAAATGGCAAAGAATGGGAACAATTGAAGTGAACTTATTTTGCTTGTCTTCACATGAATAGTGGGTAAGAAAAAACTCTTCATCCTTAACAAAAGGTTCTTATATTCTACTTTAAGTCACATAACAATCATTTCCTACCAAAACCAGAAACATCAATGAGTTCTCTACAACAACCTTACCTAATTATAAGTCAATGAATCTGTTTCTAGATGGTTTTCATCAAATCAAACCACACTTTATTTATATACTTCAAATAAATTATGTAGGAGTTCAACATCACTGTAATGCATCAGGTGCCTAACACTAACTGAACATCTTCTTCACCTAATCACTTGCCTTCCTATTTATGTTTTGATTTTTTTTGTCAATGTCTTAACCAAAAAATCTTTTACGATCTTACCTTACTCAAGAAATGTCCAAAGAGGTTCTTCTAATAAAATTGCTCACAGTTCTTAGAAAAAGTGTAATCCTATGATGACCAAATTAGTGTGGGCAATAGCAGTGAAGTAAGACTTGAAGACTGCTGTGCAAATGAGTGCTCTTTCTCTTCCACTTTTCTCGGCCCTTCTCAACGTGAAACTCAGTGTAATTGTTTCTGACATATCCTTGTTTAGCATAGTAGTCAATCCATCTTGTTTGCGTTGATGGCTAATTTTACCTAGTTTAATCTGTCCATAGAAGGTTCTTATCATGATGCTGTCAGATGGCAACCTACTTCTATGTTAATCTCTGTCCTTCTTTCTTCTTGCTTGTTGACTTGTGAACAGGAATGCTTCTATGCTAATGGGATTTAGTTTCTTCCTAATCCATTCCTTTTTCAGTGTTAATTTCTGATCTTTAGGAAATGCAAAATAAATGCTTGGGCTGATAGATTTAGCAAGGCTAGGCAAAACACTTTATAGATACTTTTGACCTTTTTTTTTATTTATTGCCTTGGAAAAGCTGCTCATTCAGCCTCCCAGTTCAATGGGAACATTTTGCTGGTTCATGGAAAGATCAACTGGTATTATTTTCTTACAACATTTTTATCAAAGAAATAAAGATAAACATGAACAAATAGAAGAAAAGTAGGAAAGATAAAAAAAGTGTTGAAAACAGAGCAAAGAAAGAGAAAAAGAAAAAATATTTAAAGAAGTGACTTCCAATCTTTTTTACAGCAGTTATAGACAATATCACTTCCCCTCTTACATAAATTACGTAGCATAGTTATGTAATTATCTTAATAATGAAAATCCTGGGCAGGAACTTCTTCTCCCATCCACTGGCATTATCTTTTACTGATCACAATGAGCTTCTTTGTAATCCTAATCAGTCCTTTACCCCATCTTGTATTTTCTTGATATGAAATGTAACTCCGGTCATTTCCAGACTTATGGTGCAAGTCAGATACACTATACAGCACCAGCTTGGAAAAGCCATATATATGATATATATATATTATATATATATATATATATATATATATATATATATATATATATATATATATATAATATTATACTCTGTTAAAATCAATAAATAGTCGAACACCAAGAGAATAAAATTATACAAAAGTTAAAAAATGTTAAAACTTTTATTTACTAGACCTAGCTTTCGTCAAGAGCTCTTGACATCATCAGGGTGTAAATGGCAGTCGTTGGGAGGGCTTATATGCAGCCTCCAATCATTTGCGCTCAGCTCTTGGATCGTGTCATAGGTCCCAGCTGTGTGCATTGTGTCCTGCATTGGGGTGTGGTTCTTTCTCACCCCTTCTATGTATGCTGTTACGTGTGTCTTTCTCGCTAGTTCTAAAATTAGCTGGGGTATTTCCCCTTTCCTTGCAGTTAGTGCATGTTTTACTAGTTTCCCATTCGTGATTCTGTCTGTCACGGGCGGTAGTTGCTGTTTTCTGCTTCCTTCTAGTTCCTCCAACCATCCCCTCCGAGCCACGTTCCAATCCTCCTGTTCTCTCGGATCATAGCCCCCGTGTGCCATCCCGTCCTGCACCACTCTCCCTCCTATTCCTTTCCATCACTCCCTTGGATCTATCATCACTCTCCTCCCTATATTCTTGGGAGGAGTCGTTCTGGAGTGTGTGCATGTCAGTAAGGCATTGCCTAGCTCGTAACCGGTCAATCCATTGCTCACTCCATTTGGGGCTTCCGTCCTCATCCTTCATCGAAGAATCTCTCAGCCCCAAATTCACATTCCAAAGGAGCAACATGTGAGCCCACTAAAACTGCTACATATACTGAGCTACTGATCTGCATGTTACAACACCTACTTAAATTATTTTCTTAGGCACTGGACTGAACACCTCCCTGCTCCTGCCACCCTAGTCTATAGGATTAACTTTTGAATCCTTTCAGGTGGACTATATTAGGACTTAAATTCAAATTCCTTGCCTGGGCAGTTTGATCGGTCTTAGCTATGATAGATTTCCTTATTATTTTGTTCTTGCCTGTTTGTCGAAAATTTGCAAGCTGTATCTGAGATTTATTTATTTAGAATAAATAACATAGCCACCCATCTTCTAATTCTGAGCATCTCTCAATTAAAAGTTAAGACAACATATAAAACAAATAAACAACAAAAACAAAGACCTGGAGCCATGTCAACCTTCTAATATGCAATTATTTAGTCTTATTCCAGCACTTGGAAGAAAAGCCAGGTCTTCAAAGTTTTAAGGAAGGCTAGGAGGGTGGAGAATTGCAACAGAGGCTGCCAATCTTTAGGGGGCAGAGTGTTTTATAGGGCAGGAGCTTCCACAGAAAAGGTATGCTTCCTAGCTTCCATTAGATGGCAATATTTAGGGGAAGAGACTAGGAGCACGCCCACACTATGTAATCTGATAGGATAGATCGTTGTCCTTAGGGAAAGGCAATCCTGCAGATAGCCTGGCCCCGTGCCATATACAGGGCTTTAAAGGTGATAACCTACACCTTGAATTGCACCCAGGAAGAAACTGGAAGTCAGAGCAGGATGAGGTAGGAGCAGGCGGTTATATGCAGGATATCTTCCAGTTTTATTTTTTTATCTTTGTCAAATTTCACTGTAATAAAGAATTTAACAATATCCAAACAGTCTATAAGCCATTTTGTTCAAGCTAAGCAGCAAGGACAAAATTAACTTTGTGTGATTTTTGAGAGTCCACCTAATATTTATAGCACTTATGCAGGATGAAGAAATTGTAATTTCTTTGTAAGTGTGTGCTTGTATGTAGCAAGCACTGAAAGTGTCTCACTACTGTGTGACCAAAAGGATTAAGACCATGATGTTGGCAAATAATATGTACTGTAAGAGGCTGTTTCAATTATTAATAAATTACATAGTTATTGTCTTTTAGCAACTGCAAATTTGCTTTGTTCAGGGACAGTCTAATACATTCTGATGCCTGAAGCTAAAGCCAAGATCATAGAACTGTTCAGTTGAAAAGGGGTATTTAGTTCATCATCCTGTTCCATGCAGGAATTTAAATTAAAGCATCCCTGATAGATGACGGATAAGCTCATCAGAACATTGAGCTGGAGGGGGAATTATTTAATTTGTATAACCACCTGTCTCACATATGTGACTTTATACAAGTTACAATAAATTAAATAAAATACATATTATAAAATAAAAACACATGACAGCAGAGCTTCATAAAATATGAACAAAGTCAAAAGATGGGCTCTATCACACATCTGGGCCTCTGCTAGGCAGAAAACCAAATTTTTAAGGCCTTCTGAACAACCAGCAGGGCCAGGGCTACCCTAATCTCAAGAGGAATGGTGTTAAACAGGGTGGGCAGCACAGCAGAAAAGGCTCTTATTTTTAGCTCTGCCAGTTGACAGTCCTTAGCCAATATCACCTGAAGCATGCTCTGCCTGCTGGACCAGGTGGAACAGGTAAAAACAATTGGAGAGAGATGGTCTCATAGTTGTCCAGTATCCAGCCCTGAAAGACTTTACTACTAGTACCTTAAATTCCCCCCAGCAGCATTCTGAAAACCAATGCAGCTCATGGAGTAGCGATGTCATATGTTGCCATTAACTTCTTGCACTGTTGCATTCTGCACCAGCTGAAGCTCCTAAACAATTTTTAAAGCAACCCCATGTACAGTATGTTGGAGGTCATGAGAGCTTGTGACCATTAGCAGCCCAAGAGTGGGCACAACTGATGTATAACTCAAAGGTATGCAAACAACAAATATTTATTTGTAGAAGGCCAGCAGGCTGGAGCCATCTGAATGTGGATCCAGGAAATAGGTACAATTGAGGCACATAATGGACTTCAAAGGCTCTTTAGCTATGTCTGCCACCTGCTCTTCAATCAGAAGTTGAGAACTGAAGAAAAGCCCTAAATTGTGCACCATTTCAGTCTGGGGAAATCAATCCCCTTGAAGTGGAAAATCTTCATGTCCGGGGAGAGAGCCCTAATACCCACAATTACTAAGTCCTCTGTGGATTGAGAAAAGCCTGTTCTTCTTCATCCAGACCCCCCTCCAGATAATTGGGAAATGTCTTCACCAGCCAAGAGTAGAGATGTAAAGATTCATATTACCAGCTCCCTCTGTACCCAACCAGATTTTATTTACCCATGCCAGGTTGGGTAAATGCTATCAAATCATGGATGTAGGAGTCCTTATTACATAGCAATCTGGCATTTAGTACTAGCAGCAGCAGTGTTATTTTTAGACAATAATGTAGGTTAGATTGATTTATACAGAAGCTGAAAGCTGCTATAATAAAATTGCAGTTTGCAAGACAAGAAACTTGCTATCTGTGATAAATTATATGGGAGAAAGGAAGCTTAAAATAGTTCTTGCTCAAAATCTTTTTTTTTTAACTTGGTTAGATGGTTGTTCCCATACCCAGAGTATGACTTTTTTTTAAAAAAAGTATCTTGTTTCTTATTGAAGTTGTAAAAACTGAAAATGCTCAGTAATAAAAATAGTCTTAACAAATCAACATAATTTATAATGCTATGTATTTGATATTTATCTTCTTTATTTACCGATCTTCTTCCCAGTTTTGTTTATGAATGAATTTTACAAAAACAGTGTGCATGAGTTATATTGTCCAGTAAAAATATGTTCAAATTAGAAGAAAATGTGAGCTTCATATTGCAATTACTTCATATTGAAATTTCAAAATGCAAAGAATTGACAGTTTTAAAAGAAATTACAGAAGCAATATTAGAATAAGGAATATTTTTCATACAAGATTTAATAGGAGGAAAATAAGATCAAAATACTGTATATGGCAAGAGAAGAAAATAAGTTTGAAGTTTTATATATGTCTTCTTGGAAATATGTTCTATTAAAATCAATGGAATTTTTCACTTTATTTAGAGTGGCAAAAGACTGCAATGTGATTCTTACTCTCCATAATGCTCTCCATTCAATTAACCAAACAATTTTTCAAAAAGGATATTCATCAAAATCTTTGTTGGGTAATTAATCAGCATGCTCAAGGATAGTCACATCTTATGAATTTTACTCAGTTTTAAGTTTGGGACCAGGAATTAAGCAGCTGCCATGAATCAGAGGCTAAACATCTGTAACTACGGTAAGAGGAGGAATCAAAGGTTGTCACTAAAATAGAGCAGTTTTCTCTATAACAAAAGTTCAGTTGCAATATCTTGTTTTTCAGTTAATCAAAAGTAACTGTTAGATGTTTCAGGGATACTTACTTTTTGGTAAATTACTCCTCTTTCATTGCCAGATCTAGAGTACATGAT